CTATTTCTTACGCGGAGCCCACAATGTTGAGAGGCTCTCTTTGAGGGGAGGGGGACGTAGGTAGGCGTCGTTCTGAGAGCAACAGTCCTATACGGCCCTGACGAAATTTTCACACCCCTTCCTAGCTGGTGGCGCAGCCGAAGACCTACACAAATACTATTCTCCATAGTTTAAATTAGGTAGCAACAGTATCCTCCCCTATCTCTCCACTTCACGGCAGTTTCTTGAGGAAAAGCTGGGGAATCTCCATGGAAAAATGGTAGGAAGTTGTCGAAGTCACTAAGATGGTAGGCAGGATGAAGAAGGAGGGTCGTAACAGAAGAGTAAAGCCGGGAGGAGGGGAAGGAAAGGGCGTACTTCGCAAAAAACCCCTCCCAATGATAGGACGTGCTCCGAGTCGGTTGAGGTAAAAATCAGGGCTTGAATCCTTCGACGACTTCGGAGGAAGAGAAGGCTTGCAGGCTCAGGAGGCTCATCGGATTTTTATACTCTATCTCCTAAGCTTCCCAAAAAGTTCTTGGTAGGCTCGGGCGGCTTGTAGGACTTTTATTTTCTATCTCCAGAGCCTCCCAGAAAGCTTGTCTGTGCCTTCATAATAGCTTGTAAGCGGGGACTAATTCAACTAGAACATGAGGAAGATCTTTAAGTTGGGCGAGCTCTGCGTGGTTACTGAAGCTGATATCGGGGGATGGGGGGAGGGCTAAAAGGAGCATTTCCATGCATGCTCGGCGACGGCTGCCGTATTCCCTTGCCGCCCTTCTTCTTTACAAATACTTCTCCAGCATTTTTCTTTCCGATCCCTCGTAGCAGAACGTGCTTAGAAACGACCCTTCATGCCCTTAGATATGGATGGTACATATTCTCAGACCCCCCTCCACTTTAGCACTCTCAAAATGTTGCTGAGATTGAAATTTTTTTGTGAATTTCTCGTGCATGTCGTCTATCAAACTGAACTGACCTGCATAGCCTTGATATTCAATGAGGCCAGAATTGCCTCTTTATCGGCGAGCGTTGTGTCTTCGGTGTTCGGCACTCGAGCTGATATGATCACACACATATCACAGAGGTTGATGTTAACAGCCGTAAATCCGCTCGCGATAATGGCGATCCCTAAAATTTCAGCGTTTCTCGTTTTTTGCGGAGATGAAAGAGAAGCTCAAAACGAACTCAATAGGCGCGATACTTTTTGTAGTTAAGAAACCCCCCCCCACCAACAAATCTCAACTATTCACTTGACCACACGCACCAAGCGATTAGGCTGCTATAATTATCCTTTACATGAGCCACTGAAGGCTTGGCTCAACCCTCACCCTCCTCCTTCCTCGACGTCGCTTTTTCATTTTATTTTGCGGGTCGAAAAAAAACCCTGAGATAATCTGAAAACAAGCATTATGTTATGGAGTAATGAATGGTAATGGTGGACAAACAGGGTTATGTCTTCCAAGGAAAAAATTAAAGGGGGGTATGTAGTTTGCAAAATTTATACCCAGCGGGAGACTACTTTAGCTGCATCGCAAAAAAGCCACCCTTGTTCTTTCCTCAGAAGTGTGCTCATCTCTTTCGGCTTAGATAAAAAGGATACAGCGCACCAACGAACGCAAGATTTAGGTCCAGCTCCGCCCATGCGGTAAAAGCGGATGTTTTCGAATTATGGGAAGTTCGATTCAGATACATACGTTCAGTATGGAGATCTTCGGTAGATTGTACAGTGTCTTCCATTCTTTTCGCAGATAGTCGAGATCACCGACGATTACAACGTGCTTCAGCTCGTGATAGTGGAAATTCGAGGCTCTGAATGGTGCAGAAATCAAAAAATAAATCTCATTGGGAAATATTTTCATTGAAAAAATGGATTTCTATTGCTTATAGCAACACGAAAGGGAAATTTCTGGTTTGAATTCACAGACAGACAATCCAATGAGGTCATGCATATAACAGAGAGATTACGAAAATCGCGCTGCTCTGAATAGTTAATGGTAGGTTTCGCGCTCGCCGGGTGGGCGGAGTCGAACGCATCAGTGCGGCTTCCCTATTAGTGCGCCCTTCATCCAGCATGATGAGGAGAGGGAGAGTGCCATTCAGGCAGGCACAATGGTCGACTCCGCCTTAACAATAAGGGGAACTGTGATCTTGAAGATAACGGTGCTCGTTCGACTAATGGAGGGGGG